GAATGTGTGCGTGGGTGTGGTGTTGTGTAGGGGTCGTATGTAGGGAGTGTGTGTGTGTGGGTGTATGTGTGTGTAGGGAGTGTGTGTGTGTGGGGGTGGTGTATGTGTGTGTAGGGAGTTGTGTGTGTGTGTGTGGGATGTGTGGTGTGGGGGTTATGTGTGTTGTAGGGAGTGTGTGTTGTGTGTGGGGGGTGTATGTGTGTGTAGGGAGTGTGTGGGGTGTATGTGTGTGTAGGGAGTGTGTGTGTGGGGTGTATGTGTGTGTAGGGAGTCTGTGTGTCTGTGGGGTGTATGTGTGTGTAGGGAGTGTGTGTGTGGGGTGTATGTGTGTGTAGGGAGTGTGTGTGTGGGGTGTATGTGTGTGTAGGGAGTGTGTGTGGGGGGTGTATGTGTGTGTAGGGAGTGTGTGTGTAGGGAGTGTGTGAGTGTAGGGAGTGTGTGTGTGTGTGGAGAGCTGTCCTCCTTGGCTCTTCTCTGCATGGGAGGCCCACAGGTGTCCTTCCAGTGGTGCCGCCTGCCGGCCCTGCCCCTCACCTGGCCTGGGCCTTCCAGTGGTGCGGCCTGCCGGCCCTGCCCCTCACCTGGCCTGGGCCTTCCAGTGGTGCGGCCTGCCGGCCCTGCCCCTCACCTGGCCGTCCCTCAGGGCCACGGAGGCCTGAGGCTGGCGGGGAGCCACGCCAGTTCGAGGTTCCGGGCGACCGCTCCCTGCAGGCCCACAGCAGGCTGCCTCCTGCCCCGGACGGAGCAGCGACGTCCCCAGGCTCACAGCTCCCCAGTCGGCACCCACGGAGCACCTGTGGCCCTCGGGGCCGTCCTGCGCCACTCTGGGACCAGCTCAGAGCTGCTGTGCCACGGGTGACAAAGTCCTCTGCCTCCAACCCAGGGGTCTCACGTCTTCTGTCCGAGTCCGCCGAGACAAGGGTAAGTTAGCGGCAGGAAGGGAGGGAGAGCAGACTCCACGCTGGACAAGCGGCTGGGGCTTGCGGTTATGCGGAGGAAGAAGAGTGAGGCCGAATCGCGAGATCCTGGGCGTGGAGCCAGCGTCCCGCTGGGGAGACTGTCAGAGCGAGACGGTGCCTGCTTTGTCTGCAGAAGGTAAGTGAGCACTTGGGACCCAGAGGCTGGGCTGTGGTGTGTTTGACTGAGGTTCAGAGCACACACACCCCCCGCCGCCCCGCCGCACAGCGCCCTTCCTCGCCCGTGACGTGAGTCTGGCCGGCAGCACCGTGTGAGTGGGAGCGTGCGTGGTCTGGCTCACCCTGCCACGCTCCTGCCATCTGCCAGGTGGGGATGACGCCTGGGGAGCCGCTGGCCCCAGGAGGAGGAGACAGGCAGAGGGCTGAACCCACCTGCAGCTGGGCCCCCAGCCCCCAGCCCCCCAGCAGACCCGCAGGCCTGCGGGACACGAGCCATGGAACACAGAGGTCTTTGCCACGCAGCTCATCGCTGCAGACACCTGATTCACAGGCATGAACGGACAGACAGACAATCAGAACAGAGCAGGTCCAAAACCAGAGGCACCTGTTGTATGACAATGGTGCGGTACAGTCAGGAAAAGTGATTCCAACAGATCGCGTGGAATCAGTTGGGTGTCCATATAGGCAGATAATGAATCTTGACTCCAATCGCCCCACTAAAACAATTCAGAATGTTGGAAATGTGAAAGGTAAAACAATACCACTTTTAGAAGAGAACACAAAGGACTATTTTTTATGACTTTGGGCTAGGCAAAGATTTTCTCAAACAGAAAACAAGAAAGTGATAATCCTAAGAGAAACGCTGACCTTGGAATATACTGATTAGTAAGTGCTGCGCACCAAAACACTGAGAGCGGAAGGCAACTCCTCACAGAATGGGAGAGGGCCCTGGAACACATCGCCCACCACAGGACTTGGGTCCAGAATATGCGAAGAGTTCCTACAAGTCGATGAGAATAGGCCAACAGACAAATCTGTCCAAATAAAAAAAAATGGCGCTTTACGAAAGTGCATTCAAATGCACCATAAATATAAAACGATGCTCTTCCTCTTTAGCTATCAGGGAAATCCAAACTGAAGCCACAGTGTGAATTCACTGCACATCTACTAGACTAAATTAAAGAATGTTCATAGCAGTACTACTTGTATTAATATTTGCCTGAATTAGAAACAATGTAAACGTCTATTAACAGTAGTATGAATATAACAGCTGTGGTTGAGAACTTTTAACTACATGCAATAAAACAAATTCAGCCATACGTCAAACCCAACATCAAATCAACTTGGGTTCATTCCTGGAGTGTAAGATTACTTTAACATTAAAAAAATCTATTACATTATTCACCACTTTAATCAAAATAAGGAGAGAAATAGCTTATGATAACCTCATGAATACAAAAAAAGTTTTTGAGAAAATTCAATACACGGTCATGATAAGAATTCCCAATGCATAAAGATTAGAAAGAAACCTTTTAAATATGCTAGAATACATTCCTATCTATGTTTATATCACATCTATCTCCAGGTCTTTATAAGGACCTAGAGTGGCCGGGCACGGTGGCTCACGCCTGTAATCCTAGCACTCTGAGAGGCCAAGGCAGGAGGATCACTCAAAGTCAGGAGTTCCAAACCAGCCTGAGCAACGAGGAGACCCGTCTCGTACTAAAAATAGAAAGAAATTAATTGACCAACTAAAAATATATATAGAAAAATTAGCCGGGCATGGTGGCGCATGCCTGTAGTCCCAGCTAGATGGGAGGCTGAGGCAGGAGGATCGCTTGAGCCCAGGAGTTTGAGGTTGCTGTGAGTGAGGCTGACGCCACAGCACTCTAGCCCGGCGACAGAGTGAGACTCTGTCTCAAAAAAAAAAAAAAAAAAAGAAGAGAAAGATCTGGGCACAGACGCACAGAGGGAAGAAGCCGTGGGGATGCGGCAGAGGCTGCAGGGGTGCTGGGGCTTGTCCGCAGCCACCGGCAGCTGGAAGAGGCACAGGGGTGGGGCTGGGGTGGGGTGGTGGGGTGGGGGGGGAGGTCCTTCCACGAGAGCCCTTGGCGGCAGCACGGTCCCACCGACACCCGGACTTCGGACCTCTGGCCTCCAGAACCGTGAGAGAACTTTCCACTGTCTCAAGCGCCCCAGGTTACGGTAGGACGTTAGGCAGCCGACACACCTGGTTTCGCCGAGGCTGTGTGTACCTGCCCACCTCCCCACCACGGCGCTCCCGGAGACGGTTCTTTTTTGTTTTTTTTTTATTTTTTTTTTAATTTTTTTTTTGAGACAGAGTTCCCTTTGGTTGTCCAGGCTAGAGTGAGTCCATGGCGTCAGCCTAGCTCACAGCAACTCAAACCTCCTGGGCTCAAGCGATCTTCTGCCTCAGCCTCCACCGAGTAGCTGGGATACAGGCATGCAACCGACCATGCCCGGCTATTTTTTATATATATGATGCAATTGGCCATTAATTTCTTTCTATTTATAGTAGCGTAGAACCCATGTACCAGACCCCGGTGTGTACAGCCATGGGTTTCTCGCGCTTGTGAATGCTACGAGCTTGGGAGAGGATGTAGATAGCTCTGTTATCTCATTAGAGTTAAGAGCAGCATTTCAGCTCCGCCGTTAACTCTATAATGCGACCTGGAAACAGTCTCTAATTCTCCATCAGAGCACAAGCTATGTCTGACATGGGATGAGTATAGAAAAATTCAGAAGGAAGATGAGTTGTCCACTGGTTCAGAGTATACTAAGAAGAGATACGGTCAAAATCCTTGTGTGGAGCCCATCTTTGTATACGCGTATGGTGTACCGTTGTCATGAGCGTTCCTCTATCTACTACGGCCACTGAGAGTCAGCACGCTTACGCGGAAAATAGGAGCTGAGGAGGGAGATCGCACAAACTGTGTGTGTGCTTATGTCTCCGCGGAGGCAAGCTCCTCGCTCTCAGCACCAGATAGTCAGAGAACAGACGCCTGCTGTGTGCCAGGCCGGGTCCCAGGTGCTGCGGGCGGACGCAGGGGAGGAAACAGAAGCAGGTGCCCCCGCCCCACTTTACAATCTGGAGGGGAGAGAGACAGAGACGGAGCCCGCCCAGGCGGAGGGAACAGCAGGTGGGGACGTCCCCTTTCAGGGTGCGTGCATCTAAGCTTGACAAGAACAAGGGGGCTGCCCTCCCGTGTCTCTCACGATGCACACTCTGGCTGGCAGGCGCGTGGGAGCTAGGGGTGCAGATGGGTCCGGCGTCACGCCCCTCCTGTGCTGCGCCCCTCCTGTGCCACGCCCCTCCTGTGCCACGCCCCTCCTGTGCCACCCCCTCCTGTGCCACGCCCCTCCTGTGCCACACCGGGGTCCGCCCCCTCAGAAACCCCCACCCCCCAAACTGAACAAGAGCCCAGCGGTTGTGCGACACCTGGCTTGTCCCCGGTGCCTGGCTGTTCGAACACTCGAATTCCCCATGATGGGCGCCACACCCCAAGAGGTGCTGAGACAAAGGCCTCACCCACCCGGTCCTATGGAGGGGACCCCCCACCCCGACTCCCAGCAGCTGGCCCACCTTGGGGAGGACCGCCACTAGCCAAGGAGGGGCCGATGTCCCGACCCTGCTCCAAGCTCAGGCCACACCGTCACACCCATGCCCAGACCCAAGCCCTCCCCAGCCTTGCCCTCGAGCGGCGGTCCCCAGCCTGCCTTTACGGCACCAGGGACCGGTTTCCTGGAAGGTACTTTCTCCGTGGCGTGGGGAGGGCGGAGCCGATGCCAGGCGGTGAGGGCTGGGGGCGGCCGTGCACCCAGGCGAAGCTTTGGCTCCCCGCCCGCTCACCTCCTGCTGTGCCGGGGTGGGAGGCGGAGGCGTCTCATGTTGCAGGGGAGCAGAGTGGGGCGGGCTTGGGGCGCGGAGCTCAGGCGGCGATGCCTGGCCGGGTTTCTAACTGGCCGCACCAGGGGCTGGGGACCGCAGCCCTAGAGGTCGCGGCCAGGCCTCCTACTGGGGGCTGGACCGCAAGTGGGCGCAGGCAGAGGCGCAGCGCTTACCTGTAGCTCTGGGTGGCGGCTGCGGGGGCTGCAGGGCCCCCTGCGCCAGGGGCGCCAGGGCGCGCGGGTCCTGGGGCCGGGCGGCGGGGGCCTTGGAGAGCACGGTGGGCGGGGTCTTTGAGCCTAGGAGCGGGTAGCTGCAGGAGATGAGCTCCGGCATCCCCCCGGGCCCCGGGAGGGCGAGCGCGGGCTTCACGCTACAGCTCCTCGGAGGCGGCGTCGGCGGGGGCGCGGGCAGCGCGCGGGAAAGTCCCTTTTCGTCCCTCGGCTTCGAGTCCTGCGAGACTGCTGTACGCGTGGATGTCCGGGCTCCATCGGGTGAGGCCGGCGGGCACTGCACTCTCAGCGGCGGGACGTCCAGGTGCGCGGGCGCGAAGCTGAAGCTGGAGATGGGCAGCACCGGCCTGCGGGCCTTCCTCACGCCCACGCCCTCCACGCACAGGTCGGCCGCGCTGAACGGCGGCAGCTCCACGACGGGCTGCGCAGGAGGGCATGGTTTGAGTGGCGGCCAGGACGGTGGGGTCCGCGGGGGCCGCAGCAGGCAGCCCAGCCTGCCTCAGGGGTGAGCCCGGTACCCCCGGGGCCCTTCCCCAGGGCCTGCCCACGCGGCCTTGAAAGACAGGCATCGCCTCCTGGGGTCCCTCCTTCTGGGACGCCTGGCACGGCTCCAGGCCAGGGCTAGACCCACCAGCCAACGACTGGGGCAAAGCCACCACCCAGCCCTGCGGGGACGGGTGTGTGTGTGTGTGTGGGGCTCCGCTTTGCTCTGGCGAGGAGGGAGAGGGGAAGGCTGGACCCCCAGGCCCCTGGGGCGTCTGGAGCAAGCCCTTCCTGGTCTCTAGGGAGGCGGCTGAGCCCCACGGGAGGGCAAGGTGGCCACGGCGAGTGGCCATGCGAGCCGGTGCCCAAGGCGAGTTCCCCGACTCCCAGAACAGGATGGGTGTCCTCCAGGGCTGACAGGGCTGGCGGCCACCTGCTGCAGTTATGTCCTGCTCCCAGTGACCAGGAAGCAGCAGCACAGGGCGGCCACCGAACCCACCCGGTGGACCGGGCCGGCCCCTGCCCAGGTAGGGGCACACACTCTGCTCACCTGTCTCCACAAGAGCTCGAAGTTGCCAATGTCGCAGTTGCGGTCCAGCTTGCGGTCCACCACCACCTTGATGGTGTCCTCCTGCACCTGGGCGCACAGCTGGGCGGTGACCGGCGTGGAGGGGTGCATGGTGGGGCTGGAGTTGATCTCGATCAGCCAGGGTTTGAAGTCCTTGCCGAGGATGAAGTCGGCGCCATACAGCTCGAAGCTGTTCTTCCGGGCCTCCACGTGGTCCTGGGCCACCCGCATGGTGTTGGTGATGGCCCGCTTCATGGCCGGGTAGATGACACTGCCCCACACGGCCCCGCGGCCTCGCTTCTGCAGGTACTCCTGGAACCGGGAGCTCGTCCACATGTTGTGCCCGGGCAGCAGGGGGCTGCGGCTCTTGTCGTTCTTGAGGTGCTTCTGGATGGAGTTGTTGCACAGGTGGATGGCGCTGCAAGGCACCGGGCGCGGGCGTGAGGCCGGTGGGGCCACCGGCCAGGGCGAGCCCCACCCGAGGACCCCTATGCAGGACCCCAGGCAGAACACCCTCCGTACGGCCCTCACTCCAGCCTGGGGGACATCAGGGACTGTATCACACACACCCCAGGGCCACCAAGTAGGCGCCTCTGGCAAGTAACAACCTCCGCAAACCTCAGTTTCCCCATCTGCATATGGCAACAGGGACGTTGGCCCTCAAAGGGCTGATCTGGTGAGACAAGGTGAGAAAGAGTCACCCAGCTAAAACTTTCAATTGATTTATTTACCCTCGGCCGGGCGCGGTGGCTCACGCCTGTAATCCTAGCTCTGCCGCAGCACGGGCACCCTGCTCCAGCGCTCGCCGACATCAACCCCCTGCAGCCCCGAGCGAGCGTCTCCCTACTCTCCTCTCGCACGCTTCTCTGGCAACTCCCTTTCCCCCCAAAAATTAGCCGCGCATCCCGGCCCCGGCTGCCACTCCGCTCGTCCTCCGCTCTTCGCCGGCTCGCGCGCCGCGCGCGCCTCTCGGCTCTCGCGCGCGTTTGAGGCTCTGCGTGAGCCTCGGCTGATGACCCACCTCTAGCCTGGGCGCAAAGAGTGCGACTCCTGTCTCAAAAAAACCACTTCTTTCCCACGCTCTCCGCTAATCTAACCACAGATTTCAACCCTAACTCCTTTTAGCGAGATTGTAATCACTATGCAGCTGGCTCAGGGCCTTGTCCATCTAAGCGCTACGAGAGTCAGGCGCCCGCGCCCTGTTGCTGGAATTCTCTCTTTGTTCGGGGTGAGTCCTGCCCTTCGCTGGGTTACACTGTCATGAGAAGGTAAGTGAAAAGAAATGATACAGGCACATAGAAGAGGGTTTTGAGAATTATTAGATTATTAAGTATGAAATGTCTCGCATGCCTTAAGGTACTCAAAGTCTTGAAGGTTCTATGCTTCTGACACTCTTCGCTTTGACATTTCTCTTGTTTTTGATGCTTCTTGTGAGTACCTCTCAGTCTTGCATCATCGTTTGCTTGTGATCTATTTTCATTTTTTTCTTAGAGAACTTTTCGTGAGCGCCTGGATACTCAGTCAGACACTTGTGTTACTTTTTGAGATAGAGTGTCGGTCTCCCCCGGCAGTGCAGTGCAGCCAGCTCAACAATGCTCAGCCACGTGTCTGGGAGGACGCTGCTGACTGCCGGAACGGCGGCCACCCGCCCCTTTCCGCCCTGCCCGTCGCGGTCTTAGCACGTCTCCCTTCCTGGTGATTTTAAAGGTCCTTAGAAACGGAGCCCGTGGGCAACTGGAGACCCAACGGTGGATACTGGTGAGCGCGAAAGCTGTGACGTGGAGAGGCGAATCATCCCACCTACTCGTGAATTAGCAGCAAGGTTTGCCGTGACTATTCTGACAAGTATTGCCCTTCTGAAACAACTAGCCAAGGTACAGACGCCTGGACACGACGAGCCTCCTCTGCTGAATTACGAGCGTCAGAAAGAAATGGTCGGCGTCCTGCCTTTCCCTGTTGCTGTCGCACTACAAGGCTCCCCTTCTCAAACCCCCGTCTTCTGGACGCGTGACTGAAAGTGATTCGTTTTTGCATCACCCAACAAGCTGTTCGCCCACACCCCGTGCTGGCTAAAGCTGAATGCCGGAACACGCCAGACCAAAACCGAATGTTCGTCAGAAAAAGCTAACGGTGTCTGTCTGGTGGTCCAGCGCTGGTATTATCCACCACAGCTTCATGAAACCTGGTCAGTCGATTACAGCGGATGTCTACTGCGACCAGTTGGACAAAAAGAAGAGGATGCTTGCGATTAGGCAGCCGAGATCAGTCAACAGAGACCGGCTGATCTTATTGCAAGACAACACTCAACACATGCCACACAAACAACGCTGCTCAAACCATAGCAGCTGGACTCAGAAACTCTCTGTCGTCGACTGTATTCACCAGACCTTGCACCCACTGACTGCCACTTCTTCCAGGCTTTGGACCACTTCTTGCAAGGAGAAGTATTCAATTCTCCCCAAGCTGTGGAAAACACCTTTCGAGATTTCATTGCCACTGGCTCTCCAGGCTTCTTCCTGCTGCACGAACAAGCTACCATTAAGGTGGCAAAGCTGTGTTGATAGTTTAGGGCACATACTTTGTTAAATGGCACTGCTTTTTGTTTGAGATAGAACAAACTACACTTTTGATTTGAAATCAGACATTTCATATTTAATGACCTAAATAAAAAATCGTGGTTTTAGGGTCACGGACCTACAATGCTAACATTTCACGATTTAATTTTGTCAGTACATGCCACTGGGCTGCACCCATTCAGACACCATTTCTGGGACTCTCACGTCACCTGGGATGAACGTGATGGTTCCAGATGGAAAAACGGCTCAGAGAGGGAGTGAGATTTGCCAGGCACACCCCTCCCGGCTGGGTGGGGCCAGGTGTGCGGGCTGGAGGGGTCCCTGGGCTTCTCAGTGCCAGGAGCTCCTTTTGCTCCTCCTGGACCCCTTTTGACCAGAGCCCCCAGCCAGCTCCTCTCTAGCCCTGCTCCAGGTGTGACTTTCCAGGTATGACTCCAGGTGTGACCTGCCAGGTGTGACCTGCCAGGTGTGACTCTAGGTGTGACCAACCAGGTGTGACCTATCAGGTGTGACCTGCTGGGTGTGACCCAGGCTTGGCTGCAGCCCTTAACCTGGGGGCAGAGTTAACTCCCTCCAGCGCTCCCAGATTCTGACTGACTCCATGCAAAGGCCCCCCGACCCCAGGTGTCTGGATCCTCCAGCCCCAAGGCTGAGTGACGGTCGCAAAACAGCCAGAAGAAGCCTCAGCCCAGAGAGCCCGGCAGGGACTCTGTGGTGTAGACAGCAGGTTCCTGAGCCCACAGATGGGCTTCCACCACCCTGCACACTCGGGGTCCCAGAGAGGCGGGGATTCGTCCACTCCTGGGCACCCCGTTCCCGGATGTCCGAGCCCCTGCACAGCACCCGCCCCTCCCTGCATCACTTTCCCCGCCAGCCACACCCACAGGCACATGGCCAATGGTGCCTTTTAGGATTTTCCAGAGAAGATATGCACGTGTGGGGTGTAGCGTGCTGGCTTTGAAGGCCTGCCCCCCTGGGGAGGCCACTAACCTCCCCGAGCCTCAGTTTCCCCATCTGTGCCTCTCCCGGTGGCGGACAACGGCGAGGAGCCCCCCCTGACCTGTCCAGGTTGTCCAGGGAGAAGCGCTGCGTGGAGAACCTCAGGTAGCTCTCCTTGTAGAACCAGATGGTCAGCGGGTTCCAGTCGGTGACGAGGAACCACTGCCTGATGTCGAACTTGGTGTCGTAGATGAGCATGGGCGTCTCGATGTACTTCTGCACCACCCACTTGTCCTTGGCGGGAGGCTGGTCTGTGGCCACCAGCTGCAGGATGTCCTCCACGCGGTCCATGCACACTATGTCTGCAAAAGGACACCGGTCAGCCCCGGGGCACGGCTTTGGGCTGGACCCGGGGGGTGGTGCGGCCAGACTGGGCAGGGAAGGCCGTGTTCAGTGGAGGCTGCCCCCCACTGTCACCCAACGGGCCACCCGGGACCCCAGAGGGGACACAGAGGTCAGCAAAGGGACAGGAATGGGGACAGAGGCCCTTCTGGAAGGCAGGCAGCCCTTGGCTGTGCTCCGGGGTGTGGTGTGAGCCAGGGAGCAGGGGCTGCTCTACAGACCCCGGACACTGGCCAGGCAGGGCTGGGTCTTCTTCTTTGTTTTTTTTTTTTTTTTGAGACATAGTCTCACTCTGTTGTCCTGGCTAGAGTGCCATGGCGTCAGCCCAGCTCATAGCAACCTCAAACTCCTGGGCTCAAGCGATCTTCCTGCCTCAGCCTCCCGAGTAGCTGGGACTACAGGCATGTGCCACCATGCCTGGCTAATTTTTTCTGTGTATTTTTAGTTGGACAACTAATTTCTTTCTATTTTTAGTAGAAATGGGATGTTGCTCTTGCTCAGGCTGGTTTCAAACTCCTGAACTTGAGCGATCCTCCCACCTTTGAAACCTGCCTGAGCAAAGAGCAAGGCCCCATCTCTACTAAAAATAGAAAGAAATTAATTGGCCAACTAAAAGTACATAGAAAAATTAGTCAGGCATGGTGGCGCATGCCTGTAGTCCCAGCTACTCGGGAGGCTGAGGCAGGAGGATCCCTTGAGTCCAGGAGTTTGAGGTGCTGTGAGCTAGGCTGACGCCATGGTACTCACTCTAGCCTGGGCAACAGAGTGAGACTGTCTCAAAAAAACCCAACCCCCCGCCCCCACAAAAAAACCCCAGACTTTTGTTTCTTTAATTAAAGTAAGCTGAGACCTTCCCACCCTGAAACAAAAGCTCAGGGCCCAGCAGCAAACACTGAAGCTACCCAGGGCCAGACACAAGCAGGGAAGGCCAGAGCCAGTGGCTGGGCAGAGAGGTGCATTTGGCTGTGAACAGGTGGGCTGGAGGTGTCTGTGGGGAGACCCTGTGGACAAAGGTGGCTGCAATGGGAGGAAGATCTGGCCAGATTGACGGGGGCAGGCAAATGCTGCTTGGGAAGAGGTGTGGGCTCAGGACAGAGCCCAAGGTGGAGCCCACCCCACACGGCCGGGCAGGGCGCACTCGGAAGAGCCAGCAAGAACCCTCAAAGTCTGCAGGGCACCCAGTCTTGGGCCTCCCACACACAGAGAAGAGAGAGTTTCAGGAAAGAAGATGTTTAGGACTGAATGCAAAACATTTTTTAAATAATTAATAATAATTAACCACTTCTGAATTTTTTAAATAAAGCCAACAAAATTATTCAAAACAACTCAAGAGGCAGACAATATCCAAACTAAAAGTAAAGTCTACTAGATATCAAGCAAAATGACATTATGTAACAGAAACAAGATGATGCAGCTAAAGCTGTATCCAGAGGAAATTTCATACACTTAAAGCTTTTATTACTGCACAAGAAAGATTGGAAATAAAATAGTTTAGCATTTAAGTCAGAGATAAAATGGAAAAATGTCACCGAGGAAAATTGAAAAAATGCAACCAAAAGTTGGTTCTTTGGAAACATGAATAAGATTAGAAAACCACCTTGAAGTTCTGGGGTTTTTGGGGGGTATGTGTGTGTTTTTTTTATTCGTCTGTTTGTTTAAAATAGGACACACGGTATTCACCGTTAGGAATAAAAAGAGAATACAGGCTGGGGTCAGATGGGCGCGGTGGCTCACGCCTGTAATCCTAGAACTCTGGGAGGCCGAGGCCGGCAGATCGCTCAAGTTCATGAGTTCAAAACCAGCCTGAGTGAGACCCCGTCTCTACTAAAAAATTAGAAAGAAATGAATTGGCTAACTAAAAATATATAGAAAAAACATTAGCTGGGCATGGTGGCACATGCCTGTAGTCCCAGCTACTCGGGAGGCTGAGGCAGGAGGATTGCTTGAGCCCAGGAGTTTGAGGTTGCTGTGAGCTAGGCCTACGCCAGGGCGCTCACTCTAGCCTGGGCAACAAAGTGAGACTCTGTCTCAAAAAAAAAAAAAAAAAAAGAGAATACAGTGTTAACTGCGATTCAGGAAGATGCAGTAAAGAAGACTACAGATAAACATAAAAGGTTAAGGACCTACCCCCAGGAGAGACCTTGGGATTGACAGGTGAGCTCTGAGTAAATCCAAAGCATGAGAACACCACCCCCTGCCCGACATGAAAACCCTCCACCCGTTGGAGGCTAAGCCTGTTGCCAAGGTCAAACAAGACAACAGAAAAGGAAGACTACAGACCGGTTTAATTTATGAGTACAAATGAGGAGCCCTAATTAATTAGCACACCCGAATCCACTTTGCGGCTGGAGTGAGCCGTGAGGATGCCTCTTCCCCCAGGGCTGTCCAGGCCTCTGCACTGCGCACCCTAGTTCCTGCCCCGCAGCCTGGCGGCAGCGAACTGGCACTCGGGCAGCCCACAGCAGGGACTCACCTCGACCCCGGGACTTGGCCGCGGGCTTTATGATCCAGATGTTTCGCAGCCCGTCGATCTCCAGCTGAGGGTTCACTGACGTGATTTTACTCAGCAGAGCCTGGCACTGCGAAAAGTAATTTCTTGAATTGGAGATGAAAGCATCGCCGCTACAAAGCAAGATGCAGAAGGTACGTGAGTCCCCGCTGACCATGCGGGTGCTGCGGCTCTAGGGCGGTCTGGGGCCCACCCGGCGGGGAGGGCCAGGGCAGGCCCAGGACCTCGGCTCTGCCAAGTGGAGGGAAGCCCTGAGAACACGAGCCAACACCGGGGTCCCCAGCTTTTAGTGGGTCTGGACCGGCACGCACACCCCGAGGAGCGCCAGGCCTGGGCCTTGTGAAAACCATGGTGGACCCAGGTGGGTCCTGGTGCCCAGGTTTCACCTGGGGTTGGTGGCAGCAGGGTGCTGATGGGAAGCCGCCTGTCCCAGGCCAGCCTGCCTGTGTCCCCATCGGCTTCCAGCTCAACAGCCTGCAAGCTGGGCAGTCAGTCTGACCCCAGGCCCCTGCTGGTGGTTGGCAGAGTCGAGCCGGCCGTGGGCCTGACCCTAGTCACCATGATTTAAGGGAATAAGCAAGGGGCTTGGCAGAACTGTTCGTGTGGTGTCGAGAGCCCGAGGCACCTCACTGCTGCCTGGGGAGGGAAGCCCATCCCAGCAACGGCAGCCGCCCCCAGGCCCGTGGGACGCTCCTCGAGTGGGCAGACCCAGCACCGTGGGAGAAGGTGCTGGCCTTCCCCGACAAGGTGGCTGCAGCACGGGGTGGTGCCCTGCTGTGGCCCTGCCGATGGCCCCGCTGGGGGTAGAGGAGCAGCGCCTGTGGGACCCGGGACGTCTGTGTTCATTCACACCGTGCAGGGAAACAGGCTTGGAGAGGACGGGAAGCCTGTCCCGCGGGAAGGCCCCCGCCTGGTGGGGTGGGGGCATGGGCAGGACCACCCTCAACCGTGAGGTCACGCGTTGTCGCGGTCTAACCCTACGCTGCACCTGCTGGGGAGAGGAGACCGGGAGCGCGTGGGGCTGCTCAGGCGCCCGGCAAAGCTTCAGGGGCCACTGCGCCCCACAGCGACCAGACGCTGACGGTTCCATTCGAGGGCCACGGCCTGACACGGGCGCCCTCCCTTCTGGCATCCCGCCAGCCGCAGGCAGGTCCCAAGGCACTCGGGGACTCCAGGAGAGACCCGTCCTGCAGGGGCCAGGAAGTGCCGCCGGGCAGGCGTCCCCCTCCTGAGACATTAGGGACGGGGCAGCCACGTGGGGTCTCGTGCTGCCACCTGGTGGTAACTCCTGGCACTTCTTCCACCGAGGGCTAAGGAAACGCAGGTGCAGGGCAGTACCTGAAGAAACCGTTGGACGACTTGCACGCAGGCACGCACCATCTGGGTGGTGGATGCCACCCAGAGCAAGACACGGCCCCTCTGGCTCCTCAAAGCGTCCCTGGCCCGCCGTCCCAGTCGAGGAGCTAATGAGTCGCCATTCTGACCTCCTGTCACCACGGACAGGTTTGCCCGTCCTGGAATCCGTAGCGCGAGCTCCACTGCGTCCGGCCTCTCCTGGCGTGAGCCGTCCAGGTTCCTCCGACTGCAGGTGGTTCCCAGGTTTGGGCTACTGTCAATGGGGCCTTGGCTTCGGGTGGACGTGTGTGCTCATTTCTCGCGGATAAATGCCTGGGAATGGAATAGCTGGGTGGCAGAGCGCGTAGATGCCTAAATTTATAAGGAACCGTCAAAGACTTTCCAAAGGGGACCTGCCAGTCTACACCCCACAGCAGCCGGTGGGAGCTCTGCGTTAGAGCTCGCATGTCTTTAATTTCCGCCGTCCTGATGGGCGTGTGGTGCACGGCACTGCGGTTCCAACTTGCACCTGTCCGATGAGTGATGACGTGAGCACCTGTCCACGTGCTCACCGGCCGTTTGGACTGTCTTTCGGGAAGTGCTTGTTCTGGTCTTTTGAACATTTCCGCCCGGACCGTTTCTCTCCGCTTACTGATCACAGGCACTCTTCCTGTCTGCCAGGCACGAGGCCTCTGTTGGACATACAGCAAGTGCCATGAGTATATCCTTCCAGTTTGTGGCTTTTTTCATCCTCTGTATAGTGTTTTTTGATAAACAGAGTTCTTAATAAGGTGCAGTTTGTAGACTTTTTTCCTATTATGATTAATGCTTTTAGTGAACTGTTTGAGAAATCTTTTTTTTTTTTTTGAGACAGAGTTTCACTCTGTTGCCCGGGCTAGAGTGCCGTGGCGTCAGCCTAGCTCACAGCAACCTCAAACTCCTGGGCTCAAGTGATCCTCCTGCCTCAGCCTCCCAACTAGCTGGGACTACAGGCATGTGCCACCATGCCCAGCTAATTTTTTCTATATATATTAGTTGGCCAATTAATTTCTTTCTATTTTTAGTAGAGACTGGGTTTCACTCTTGCTGAGGCTGGTTTCGATCTCCTGACCTTGAGTGATCCACCTGCCTCCGCCTCCCAGAGTGCTAGGATTACAGGCATGAGCCCAGCCTGTTTGAGAAATCTTTGCCTGGTCATGAAGACACACTCCCATGATTTTTTGTTTTTTTAACTTTCACATATCACAGAATATGTTTCAAATTAATGTTTGTGTATTTACGAAGCAGGATTCAAGGCACATTTTTTTCATAAGGATGCCCATTGCTCAAGCATGATTTAGTGAAAAGGCCAGCTCTTGTCCGACAAATTGCAACAACTCAGTCTTCAATCAACTGATCATACATGTGAGGGTCTATCTCCAGACTCTATTCTGTTACCTTCATCTGTTTACCTCTTATCCTAGTATCATACATCTAAATTACTGTTACGTTGGTCTGTTTACCTATCTTATCCCAGTATCACACTGTCTTAATTATTGTAGATTTAGAGTAAGTCTGGAAGTTTGGAGCATAAGTCTTCTAATTTTGTTTTTCTTTACTTTTTTTTTTTTTTTTTTTTTTTTTTGAGACAGAGTCTCACTTTGTTGCCTGGGCTAGAGTGCCTTGACATCAGCCTCACTCACAGCAACCTCAAACTCCTGGGCTCAAGCAATCCTCCTGCCTTAGCCTCCCAAGTAGCTGAGACTACAGTCACCAGCCACTATGCCCGGCTAATTTTTTTCTATATATTTTTAGTTGGACAATTAATTTCTTTCTATTTTTAGTAGAGATGAGGTCACGCTCTTGCTCAGGCTGGTTTTGAACTCCTAACCTTGAGCGATCCTCCAGCCTTGGCCTTCCCACAGTGCTAGGATTATAGGCATGAGCCACCATGCCTGGCCTATTTTCCTTGATCAAGCTTCTCTTGGCTTTTCTGAAATCATTCAAGTTTCTGTAGAAATCAGTCTGTGAATTCCTCTTGTCCCACCATCCCCCAATCCCTGGAAGGAATTTGATTGGAATTACATTGAATCTTTGGATTAGTCTTGGAAAAACAAACATCTCTACACCATTAAGTCTTCTAATTCATGAATATTATATATGTTATAATATATATTTATGTAAACATATACATACACACATTTTTAGGTATTTAATATCTCTTACTTTAAATTTTTAGTTTAGGGCCTCAAATGTGTTTCATTAGATTTATTTCTAAATATTTGTTCTTATTTTATATTATTGGAAATTGTGTTTTTAGAATTCACTTTATAATTGTTGCTAGAACTTAGAAATACAACAGACTTTTGCATATATATCTTATACATAATTACCTTGCTTAATTCACCTAATTCTAATACTTTATAATTCCTTAAAATTATCTATGTGCACAATCATGTCATCTGCAAATAGTCTTTACTTCTTCCTTTTTGATCTGTCTTTTCTTTATTTTTCCTGTACTGTTAAAATAGACTGTTCAGTCAGTGCCAAACAGAATTCTGATGGTAAACGTTTTTGTCTCATTCTGATTTCCAGGGGAACACTGTCAATATATAGCCACTAAGAAGTATGTTAGCTGTAGGACTGTTACAGATAAACTTTATCAAATTAAGATTTTTTCATTTACTAATTTGTTAAAAAAATTTAACATGGACAGATATTAAATTTCATCCATTTTTTGTATCCATTGAGATGATCATATAACTTTTCTTTTTTATTCTGAAAATGTGATAAAATTCACTGATAAACTTTGGAATGTTAAACCAACCTTGCATTCCAGTAACAAAACCATTTGGGTTATAATGTATTACGTCATTTACATATCACTGGTTCAAGATAATATTTTGATTAGGATTTCATGAGAAATATTGGCCTATAATGTCTTGTTATTGTACCCTTTTCAAGTTTTGATATCAAACTTTTACTGGCTTCATGAAATGATTAAAAAGTTCTATTCTTTTGTGTTACTTGAAAACATTTGTAGATTAGAATTAATTTTTTTTTTTTTTTTTTTGAGACAAGGTCGTCTCTTGTTGCTAGGCTAGAGTGGGGTGCCGTGGCGTCAGCCTCGCTCACAGCACCTCAACCTAGGCTCAAGGGTCCTCCTGCCTCGGCCTCCCGAGTAGCTGGGACTACAGGCATGTGCCACCATGCCCGGTAGTTTTTCTATATATATTAGTTGGCAATTAATTTCTTTCTATTTATAGTAGAGACGGGGTGTCGCTTTGCTCAGGCTGGTTTCGAACTCCTGACCTCAGCAATCCGCCCGCCTTGGCCCCAGAGTGCTAGGATTACAGGCGTGAGCACTGCGCCCGGCCAATTTTTTTTTTTTTTTTTTTTTTTTTTGAGCCATTTCACTGGGCTAGAGTGCTGTGGTGTCAGCCTAGCTTACAGCAACCTCCAACTCCTGGGCTCAAGTGATCATTCTGAGTAGCTCAGTAGCCTCAGCGTCCTGAGTAGCTAGGACTACAAGTGTGCACCACCATGCCTGGATAATGTTTTCTATTTTTAGTAGAGACATGGTCTTGCTCTTGCTCGGACTGGTCTGAAACTCCTGACCTCAAGTGATCATCCCGTCTTGGCCTCCCAGAGTGCTAGGATTACAGTCGTGAGCCCCTATTCCCAGCCTGGAATTAATTTTTTATTAAATGTTTAGAAAAATTTATCAGTAAAGCCATTATGGGCTTGGATTCTTCTTTGTAGGAAAGTTTTTAAAATTACAGATTTAATTTCTTTAAAA